GCAGCGCCCGCAAGGTCCTCCTGCTCAAGAAAGCACATATACAGGCCCGTCTGAAGTTTGCCAATGAACATCAGAATGATTCATAGGAGAACTGGGTGAAAGTGTTGTGGTCAGATGAGACCAAAATGGAGCTCTTTGGCATCAACTCAACTCACCATGTTTGGAGGAGGAGGAATGCTGCCTATGACCCCAAGAACACCATCCCCACCGTCAAACATGGAGGTGGAAACATTATGCTTTGGGGGTGTTTTTCTGCTAAGGGGACAGAACTTCACCGCATCAAAGGGACGATGGACGGGGCCATGTACCGTCAAATCTTGGGTGAGAACCTCCTTCCCTCAGCCAGGGCATTGAAAATGAGTCGTGGATGGGTATTCCAGCATGACAATGACCCAAAACACACGGCCAAGGCATCAAAGGAGTGGCTCAAGAAGAAGCACATTAAGGTCCTGGAGTGGCCTAGCCAGTCTCCAGACCTTAATCCCATAGAAAATCTGTGGAGGCAGCTGAAGGTTTGAGTTGCCAAACGTCAGCCTCGAAACCTTAATGACTTGGAGAAGATCTGCAAAGAGGAGTGGCACAAAATCCCTCCTGAGATGTGTGCAAACCTGGTGGCCAACTACAAGAAACGTCTGACCTCTGTGATTGCCAACAAGGGTTTTGCCACCAAGTACTAAGTCATGTTTTGCAGAGGGGTCAAATACTTATTTCCCTCATTAAAATGCAAATCAATTTATAACATTTTTGACATGTGTTTTTCTGGATTTTTTGTTGTTATTCTGTCTCTCACTGTTCAAATAAACTAAACTAAACTACCATTAAAATGATAGACTGATCATGTCTTTGTCAGTGGGCAAACGTACAAAATCAGCAGGGGATCAAATACTTTTTCCCCTCACTGTAGGTGTTCATTGCTTGGCAACAGCTTTCATTATATTGCTGAGGGGGTGAGAAGTCTAGTAAAAACGAATGGATTCCCACCCTGACCAGCGTGGACATGCAGGACAGCGTTGTGTGGGGCCTGTGGGGCCTCTGGACTGAGCTCAGCTCACTTCCCTCCACTGGCCTCTCAGACCAAAGTCACCCAATTTCCTGCCCCAGTTAGTGTCCACTGATCCCCTCACTGCTCTGGGGCCCTGGATCTCTAATCCTGCATCCGCCACACAGAAACAGGGAGGTAAACAGTATGTGTCACCACACAACCCCCAACTCACTCTTTAGAGACTCCAGTCTCTAATATCTAAACACAACAATGTCAACTAATTTGACCCCCAACTTCCCACCTTAGTCTTTCACAGAATGTTCTATCATGGAATATATTGGTTCATCTTTCTTTACAAGTACACATCTTTTTTGGCTCATTTCAGCTGAATGGGATGCTGAGTAAGAATCACCCAGTCAGGGGGAAATGAGAGGAGGGAAGGGAAGAGAGATGGGAAGTAGAAAGAGAGAGTGAGGTGTCTGGGCGTGAGAGAGCGAGACAATATAGACAGAGGGAGTGAGACTAATGGAGGCTTAGGGGCGATGTTGATTAGGGACCAGGTGTACGCTGCCAGCTCCAGTCTCTGCTCATTATTCAGACTGAAGGAGGAAACAGTGACAGCAGCACTGCAGCATCAGGAGCCGGGGAGGGGAGGGCCTAACCTATACCTAACCTATATCCCCAGGCCCTGGAGGAGCTATCAGTCAACCTACATGGGCTGAGAGCTCACTCTACTCTGACTCACAGCCTAGAACACCCCCAGGTGACTCCCTCCTCCATTTAACAAATCATCAGGGTTGATAGCATAGCAAAGGGTGAACCGTAACCTGTCTGAACCTCAGCCCACCAGTCATGATTAGTCCTGTTCTGGGTGGCTAGAATCAGAATGGGTCCATTTGAAATATGTATTGTTTTGACCACTTCACTTCTCACAAGTCCATAAAGTGTACAGTAGAACTGTCTCCCAAGCTGAAACGGAAGGAAGGGAGACATTCCGAATACTGAGTGACTGTCTCTGTGCTGGACCTCTTCCACCTTTGCCACCCACTCCAGCCCCTAGCCTTGTCTTGCATGTCTCAGCCCTGGCTCAGTGAAAAGATTAATTGTTTTGGTGTAGCTGTGTGGATGGAGTTCTGGTGTGTGTGTGTGTGTGTGAAGACCAGTGCTGTGAAACAAGGGCTGAATTGCACACTTGGGCACTGCAGGACACTGGGCAGGCAGCTGGCCAGCAGGACACACTTGGTGCTTTACCACTGAGACTTACCACCACACCAGTGGGCTGCCAGTGTTTTTTGTTAATGTTAGCTCTAGTGTTATATTGTGTTTCCATCAGGAGTGTGACACTAAAGACTTGTGGCGAGCAGAATCAACAACCTCGGCATCATTCAAGGCTGTTGCTTTGTGACAAGGTGTTAAGTTCACAGTTAGACATTGTTATGTAAATGATAGCTGAAAAGTACCCAGGGCCTTGCCTTGGCTCCAAGTTAGAGCAGGTCCGCCGGAACCATGGCCCAGGGAGACACGTCTGCTGGCCCACGTAGATGGAAACAGAAAAGTCTGAGCCTTTTGGATAAAACGTTGTGGATAATCCTTAGTGGAAATGTAGCAACTGTGGCTGGTTTAGGATTGCAAAGGGAGGGTATATTTCTGGAACTTTCGAAGTTTACCAGTAAACTACCAGAATTTGGGCCTCTTTCAAGGATTTTATGTAATCTATCACAAGATGTCTAGTGATCATTTTGGGTACTTCAGATTATCAAAGGTGTCTGTAATTATCTCTGGCCCTCTGTCTGGCCTTATCACATGTAAAATATATGAAATAATTAAATAAGATGATTTTAAAATAAAAAATAGAATGACAAAGCTGTAAAACATTATCCTAAATATAAACCATCAAGTTAGTGAATACAATTGATGTTTAATATGAGGGTTTCAGCATGAAATATCCTTTATATTTTTGACACACTTTATTTTACTATGTAAATATGTATTTGTTGTCAATGTTTTGACGTCAAACTGGTGGCAGTTGTGAAAAAAGTCCGTAGTTGGAGGAGTTTAATGGAAAATATTGCCATTGTTGATTAGATGCTTTTTTCATTAATTAGGCTATCTGTAACAACCTCATGGACAATACTATATATTATAAAAAATATATAAGTTATTCAAGTATATATTACCAAAGTTACGATAGATTGCCATAAATTGTGTTTAATTACCAAAATTACTGAAGATGCTGGTAACGTTGGTCAATTACCGGTAGCTTTGCAACCCAAGCCTGGCTAGTGTTAGATTAGAGCAAGACCTCTGCCCACCTACCCGTCAGACTGGAACCTGTGGGTGATGTTTAGCACTACTGTTGAGTCAGTTCATCATTCATTCTTGTCATCTATGGACTCTGATTTCCCCCTGCTACCGTTTGATATTTCTCGCAGTAAACGTGGTACTATACTGAAATGGTTGGACTTAGTTGAGACAGTGGACTGAGTAGACCTGTGAATGAAGGGGTCTGTTGCTTCTGGCTGAGGTATTGATGCTCTCACAGGAAACACTCAGCAGTGTCTGGCTGTGGCTGGCTGAGTTTGTTTTGGTTAGCTCAGCAACCATCACACTGGTATGGGAGACTGAGGGCAGACAGACAGACAGACTTGGAAGGAGTGAGTTTGTCTTGAGCCGTGTGAACTTCTAATCATAAAGAGAACCCTCCCATCCAACTCCATGCACACTTCAACACCTCTGTAAACACACACACACACAAACACACACACATACATATCTTTCAGTCCGTTCACACACAGATAGAGCCTTTGGCCCTGAGAATAGCAACATTTTCATTCAGACCTCCAATTAAAGGTGTCCTCAGTGTGAACCCACAGGGAGGCCCTGCTGTGGAGCTGTCTGTCATCATACAGAAGGCAGCTTGCATGAGACCCAGACATCCCAACTATTTCTTATCTCCTGGCCTCCACACAAACCTCCTTAGAATGGTGTCTTGGTTTGGGCCCATCAGGGTTGGTGACAGGCAGGACGTGGTGTGGTGGGAAACTCTGTCATCCAGCAGCCCCCCAGGTCCTGGGAGACACGCTGCTGAACGCTAAACGTTCCTAACGTCACAGGCATGATGGGAACGCTGTCTCTGGCCAACAGACCTGGTAAAAGAGGGAGAATAATAAAGAGGGGTTTTCTTTCCACCCTGTCTACTCTTATGAATGTCTGTCTGTCTGTCTGTCTGTCTGTCTGTCTGTCTGTCTGTCTGTCTGTCTGTCTGTCTGTCTGTCTGTCTGTCTGTCTGTCTGTCTGTCTGTCTGTCTGTCTCTCTGTTGTCTGTCTGTCTGTCTGTCTGTCTGTCTGTCTGTCTGTCTGTCTGTCTGTCTCTCTCTCTGTCTCTCTACAGCATGTGTCAAACTCAAGGCCCGCGAGTGGTTTGAGTAAAGAAAAAGTGTTTTTTTGTAGATTCTTTTTTTTTGGGGGGGGGGGGATAATTATTTCAATCGACATTGAAATGACTAAAACCAAATCGAAACTGTGAAGAAATGGTAATGGACCTACGTTTATAGTCTTTTCACTCTGTCCTGCTTGCTAATAGTCATTGAAACGACAAGTGACGTACGGTGAGGTCTGAGGCCGGGTAGGCACTTTCTATTGAGCAGTCCCCGTCTCCCACGCAACTGCCCTGCACGAACAGGTGACTTTCAGCACCACAGACAGCGACCCAAATGCCAGTGAGTAGGCCTACTTGTAGGCAGTGCTACATACACAAAATGCCTAGTAATAGGCACGACTGATTGAGATATATAGACATTATGAAATAATAGTCGACGGCGCTACTGTAAATAAACACTTATATTTACTTGTAAATGAAGTCCATCCGTCTATTCTTCTGGGTAAAGACATGTAAAACTCCTGTTGGCCCTCAGTTTTAAAAGTATCTCGGTCTTGACTCTCAATGGTGATGATGGCAAAGGATGAGAGTAGTCCTTGATCAGTCTGGTTTCGACTGTATGTCTTTATCCGTTTCAGCGCAGAAAATGACCTCTCAACGGAAGCTGTTGTGGCTGGTATAGTGAGCACCAGCTGCAGTAACTTTGTCACCTTGGCAGCAGTCCGTGTCAGGTCTGGAAGAAAAAACTGAGGAGCTGCCCATGTGATTTGTCCCGTATAATTTGTGAACTGTACAATCCGACAAGATCCGTCTAACTAAATCAAAGTACGTGGCAAATTTTGACAGGCTCTCGTTTGCTGGCGTCAAACTTTTGTGACATTGTTTTGATTTTTTTGCAGTCCTCTAAGCGAAGGAAATTAAATTCACTAAAGTGGTCAAATTTGGCTCTCATCTGAACATTGATATTGTCCAGTATGTAGTAGTAGATTCGCCCCCTCTCTACTGATCGGCTGTTTACTACGAGTTTCGCTTTCTGCCAGGCCCAGGTCATTGCATTTCTGCTTGAATCGCTCATAGAAACTGTCAAAGTCTTGTCGCTGACGTTCCAGTGCTTTCATTGTGTCGCTGTTATGGGTACGGCAGAAACCAATATCCATCTTTTTGTTCTGCAGAACACGGAAGAGCGCGCCAGATTCATCGAAAATTCCATCGGCCATGAGCAAAAAGCAAACACGGTGGCGGTCTCTAAATGGGTTGCTAACTGTTCATTTTTTTTCAGTAAAGTGTTAAGGCATGTAATAGTTCCACATAGTTGCCCCTGGGCATGTTTGATGAGCTGGCACTCTCATCGTTGCCACGAAATGCCAACTCCTGTTTAGGTAGCATGTAGCATTAATTAGCTAGGTCTTTCAAAATCTCACGGTTCTCTTTTTCCTTTGCATTGTGCATGCTGATGTTCAATCTCTTGTTGTTCATTCAATGCCAGATCTATCCGTGAGCTACCAAATCTCTTAAGAGCTACCTGGCTTTGGATGTGAGACACATATTTCTCATGCTTGTTGAGTGCTATAGGCAAGTTGTTAAAGTCACAGTAACCGGCTCTTGTCCACACGCTGTTGCTGGTGGAGACCAGCAGGCAGGGGAAGCAGTAGAGTTGGCTGCTAGCAGCGTAGCCACAGAGCCAGTTTTTCCGTTGATACCACTCAGATTGAAATGATTGTGTTATTTTCTGTCCCTTCTTTTGATGTAGGTCCCTAAGCTCATGTGTTGGTCTTCCATCCCGTATCACCCCCTGTTTCGCTAGAAAATCCAACATTGAAAGCTGTTTCAGATGCACTATGTTAGCCATCCTGATCAGCTTATCTTTGCTAGCAGTAAAACGAATATAACCGCAAAATGAGGCAGATGACGTCCATCGGGAGGAGCCTATCTTTCTGCCTATCCATTACTTTTTTCATGCCAATACACATGCACATTTATTATGCGTGCAATGAAAATGAATGGGAGATAGGAAGGATAGCCAGGGAGGATAGAACATTCCAAAAACAATTGATAGAGACCAAGTTTTTGTACATTTTGACCGCAAGGAAATATAATTTCAAGTGCCTCGGTGATGATCGAATGCGGCACGTGGGGGAAATGGGTTTGACACTCCTGCTCTACGGTGTCTCTTGCTTTCTCCCTGTAGTTCTGTCTATCATGTTGTCCCCCTTTCTCGCTACTAACTCCTACCTTATAATAATCAAACACATACTCTTTCTCTCTTCTGTGTTCCTCGCTTCCAGTTGGGACGACAGCAGCTCGGTGAGCAGTGGGATCAGTGACACCATCGACACAGATTACATCAACACCAGCTCCTCAATCAGCTCCTATGTCAACACTCCGTCCATCTCCTGCAAGGACCTAGAGGAACAGGTAGGTTCTGCCCCAATCACACTGTAGGGTTGTGGCAACCATAGAATTCTAATTACTAGAAAGGTGAATGAACATTCAATTTCTAGGGTGGCAGAATCTTTGGCTTTGAAACATGTTGATTTCCCTTTAAGAGACTCTGAATATATAAATTACATGATGTCTACAGCCAGACATTACCGTAGCTGATATTCTTATTAGACTAATGTAGGAGCGCTTAGGCTCTCCCATGTAATATACCAGGGACTTACAGGGAATCTACGTTTATATACTTTGATTCAGACCTGGGCCCCAATCATTTGAATGGGTATAGTAAGCTGAACGTAACGGCATACACTAGGCTGCATCTCAACTTTCTCACTGCAGTTATAGAGGTTGTGGAAAAAATAAGCAGAGTGAAATATACATCTGTGTCTGTTCTGCAGTATATGCTGATGTGGTTGCTTCAAAGTGTTTATTGAAATTGCAGCCAGGCACACCACCACCCAGTTCACAGTTCATCTTATCCTGACAATCCAATCAGTAGGTATTTATTCTTAAGTGCATATATTCACCTTTTAGACCATTGATCTGAGGTGCAGACTTTGTTTGCCATATAGTAAGTGTCTCAATCTAGGTTCTAGAGACTTCTGATGCATTTCCTTTAGGTCAGGGTTCGAATTTGGCCCGCGGATGGTTTTATTTGGCCCCCCAAGTTTTCTGAGAAAAAAAAAACTGTAAAAACACCTGGAGACCTGCTCCAAGTGATTTACATTTTAGAAATCTGGCCCTGAGAATAGCAACATTTTCTGTCAGACCTCCACTCCTCTAACTAAAGGTATCCTCAGTGTGAACCAACAGGGAGGCCCTGGTCTGGAGCTGTCTGTCATCATACAGAAGGCAGCTTGCATGAGACCCAGACATCCCAACTATTTCTTAACTCCTGGCCTCCACACAAACTTCCTTAGAATGGTGTCTTGGTTAGGGCCCATAAGGGTTGTTGACAGGCAGGATGTGGTGTGGTGGGAAACTCTCTTACCCAGCAGCCCCCCAGGTCCTGGGAGACACGCTGCTGAACACTAATTAAAACTACACGGAACAAAAATACAAACGCAACATTTAAAGTGTTGGTCCCGTGTTTCATGAGCTGAAATAAAATATCCCAGAAATGTCCCACATGCACAAAAAACCCTGGAATGAGTAGGTGTGTCCACATTTTTGACTGGTACTGTATATAATATATATATATATATATATATATATATATATATATATATATATTTCTTTAATATATATTTTTTCCTTTATTATGTTCCCCTAACCGTACCACCCCTACCCTAATTGGAGTAAACTAATGGACAACAACACTTAGGCTTCTACTTCCAGCTTATACATACTATATACATTTTACAGACACAGTATATTTTACAATAGTTATCTTTTGTTTGTTTTTAGTCCCATCCTTCAGCTCCACGCAACCCCTCCCATCTATCTCTGAATTCCATCCAGTTTTGATTTCTATTTGCCATATATGTTTCAACTGTGCTGTGATGTTTCACAAAAGTTCTGAACCGTTCTACTCTCATAGATTCTACATATTGTAAATTAAAGATAAACATTTTTGCTGAGAGTTTTATTATATTATTGATCGATTGACTATGACTTTTTAAATCACCCAGCAGTGCTCTTTGCAGAGTTAGCTCCAGGTAAATGTTGCAATTCTTTAGCCATTCCTGAACCTACGACCAAAAACAAGCTATATATGGACATTACCAAAACAAATGATCTAATAATTCTGTCTCTTCGCAGCAAAATCTGCAGAGCTGGGATGGTTGTATCCCCCATATATATATATATATATATCATTCTATTGGTTGCAAGAATTTTGTATAATAATTTAAATTGGAAAACTCAATCCAGTGTAGTTTTGTGTATCAGTTCATAAACTATGTGCCATGGAATCGGTACATCGAAAATCTCTTCCCAACTATTTTGCAATCTATATGGCACAGCTGTAAATTTTTTGGTCCTTAGATGAAACTGGTATACTTTTTAATTAATCACAATTTTATTGAACCAATTTGGTCTTTAATGCAGGGCCGACAGACAAGTTCCTTACTTTCTCCCCCTTCCACTTGCCTCTTCCATTTTTGCAGTAATGCTGCAATTAGTTGGTTGTAATTTTGAGTAGAGCAGACATTTCCATATATTTTTGTTAGCTGCATGTGTGACATAAGTCCACCAGTCCTATTTATGATATAATTTACAAAGATTATACCGTTTTTAAACATTTTAAAAATATATATTGTTTTTTTTTATCAATTAGTCTATTTGAGTTTAACCATAATATTTGTTGTAATATTTGTTCTGTCTTTTCTGGTGGATTCAACTGAAATTGCAACCAACTTTCTATGGCTGGTTTTAAAAATAGCGATATTTTGGAGATTATTTAATTTTCAAATAACCGAAAGTGATTGGTTGTAATCTGAATAAAGGGGAAAATGCCAACATGTGGTGAGACATTCTTACTAATCTAGAGAACCAGTTCGGATTTAAGTATAACTTTTGTATGACTGAAGCCTTTAGTGAGAGGTCTAATGCTTTCATATTTAATAATTTCTGCCCTCTGAATTCATATTCATTATATAAATAGGCCCGATTAATTTTGTCTGTCTTGCCGTTCCAAATAAAATTGAATATTTTTTGCTCATATAATTTAAACATCAAGTCGCTAGGTGTAGGCAAGGCCATAAGCAAATAAGTAAACTGGGATATGACTTAAGAGTTAATCAGGGTGATTTTTCCACAAATAGACAGATATTTTCCTTTCCACCGTAGCAAGATCTTATCTGTTTTGCTAACTTTCTGTTAAAATGTATTGTAGTGATATCATTTCTTTCTTTCGGGATATGAATACCGAGTATGTCCACTTCACCATCAGACCATTTCATTGGTAAACTACACGGTAATGTAAAAGTTGTATTTTTTAGTGATCCAATACGTAATATAGTACATTTATCATAATTAGGTTGTAATCCAGAGAGGTTAGAAAAAGTATCTAGATCCTCTATTAGGCTGTGGAGGGATCCACATTGTGGATTTAAAAGAAAGCATGAAATCGTCAGCATACAATGACACCTTTGTTTTTAAGCCCTGGATTTCTAGGCCCTTGATATTATTGTTGGATGTGATTTTAATAGCTAACATTTCGATGGCCATAATAAATAGATATGATGATAGTGGACAACCTTGTTTTAACCCTCTTGACAGTTTAATACTTTCTAAGAAGTATCCATTATTTACTATTTTACACCAAGGTTACTATGCATAACTTTAACCCATTGTATAAGAGATTCTCCACAATTGAAATATTCCAGGCATTTACAGTGCCTTCGGAAAGTATTCAGATCCCTTGACTTTTTCCACATTTTGTTACGTTACAGCCTTATTCTAAAATTGATTACATTCTTTTTTTCCCTCATCAATCTGAACACAATACCCCATAATGACAAAGCAAAACCAGGTTTTTCAAATTTTTTTGGCTAATTTGTTACAAATAAAACACTGAAATATCACATTTACATAAGTACTCAGACCCTTTACTCAGTACTTTGTTGAAGCACCTTTGGCATCGATTACAGCCATGAGTCTTGAGTATGATGATACAAGCTTGGCACATCTGTATTTGGGGAGTTTCTCCCATTATTCTCTGCAGAGGCTCTCAAATCTCTGTCAGGTTGGATGGGGAGCGTTGCTGCACAGCTATTTTCAGTTCTCTCCAGAGATGTTCGATCGGGTTCAAGTCCGGGCTCTGGCTGGGCCACTCAAGGACATTCGGAGACTTGTCCCAAAGCCACTCCTGCGTTGTCTTGGCAGTGTGCTTAGGGTCGTTGCACTGTTTGAAGGTGAACCTACGTCCTAGTCTGAGGTCCTCAGCTCTCTATATCAGGTTTTCATCAAGGATCTCTCTGTACTTTGTTCCATTCATCTTTGCCTCAATCCTGACTAGTCTCCCAGTCCTTGTCGCTGAAAACATCCCCACAGCATGATGCTGCCACCACCATGCTTCACCGTAGGGATGGTGCCAGGTTTCCTCCAGATGTGACGCTTGACATTCAGGCCAAAGACTTCAATCTTGGTTTCATCAGACCAGATCATCTTGTTTCATGATGTGAGAGTCTTTAGGTGACTTTTGACTAACTCCAAGCGGGCTGTCATGTGCCTTTTACTGAAGAGTGGCTCCCATCTGGCCACTCTACCATAAAGGCCTGATTGGTGGAGTGCTGCAGAGATGGTTCTCCCATCTCCACCGAGGAACTCTAGAGCTCTGTCAGAGTGACCATTGAGTTCTTGGTCACCTCCCTGACCAAGGCCCTTCTCCATCGATTGCTCAGTTTGGCCGGACGGCCAGCTCTAGGAAGAGTCTTGGTGGTTCCAAACTTCTTTCATTTAAGTATGATGGAGGCCACTGTGTTCTTGGGGTCCTTCAATGCTGCAGAAATATTTTCGTGCCCTTCCCCAGGTCTGTGCCTCGACACAATCCTGTCTCGGAGCTCTACGGACAATTCCTTCGACCTCATGGTTTTTTGGTTTTAGCTTTGACATGCACTGTCAACTGTGGGACCTTATATAGACAGCTGTGTGCCTTTCCAAATCATGTCCAATCAATTGAATTTACCACAGGTGGACTCCAATCAAGTTGTAGAAACATCTCAAGGATGATCAATGGAAACAGGATGCACTTAGGCTCAATTTCGAGTCTCATAGCAAAGGGTCTGAATACTTATGTAAATAAGGTATTTCTGTTTTTTATATTTAATACGTTTGCAAACATTTCTAAAAACTTGTTTTCGCTTTGTCATTATCGGGTATTTTGTGTAGATTGCTGAGGAATTTATTTTATTTAATCAATTTTAGAATAAGGCTGTAATGTAACAAAATGTGGAAAAAGTCAAGGGGTCTGAATACTTTCCGAAGGCACTGTATATATAAATTCCAGTCGTACTTTATCAAAAGCCTTTTCAAAGTCTGCTATGAATACCAGGCCTGGTTTCCCAGATTTTTCTTAGTGTTATATTGTTTCCAGTACTTGTCTTATATTATCTCCAATGTATCGTCCATGTAAAAAACCTGTCTGATTAGGATTAATAATATCCGACAATACCTTTTTAGTTCTATGCCCTATGCATTTTGCTAGAATTTCTGCATCACACCACTGAAGTGTAAGGGGCCTCCAATTTTTTCAATGGACTGGATCTTTATATTTACCACTTGGGTCCTGTTTCAGTAATAATGAAATAAGACCTTCTTGTTGAGTATCTGATAATCTACAATTTTTATAGGAGTGGTTAAAACATGCTAATAACTGTCATCTGAGTACATCAAAAAAGGTTTGGTACACCTCAACTGGTATGCCATCCAGTCCTGGAGTTTTCCCGGACTTAAAGGCTTTAATTGCATCAAGAAATTCCTCCTCTGTAATTTGGCCTTCACATGAGTATTTCTGTACAGCTGTTAATTTTACATTATTAATAGGGAAAAATTCCTTACAATTAACTTTGGGTAGTGGAGATGGAAGCGACTGAAACGAAAACATATGCTTAAAGTACTTTGCTTCCTCTTTCAAAATATCATTTGGTGAATCATGTTTTTTTTAAAGATATCTATGACCAACTGATTCATATCTGTATTCCCAGCCATGTGAAATCCATAGATTAGGGCCTAATGAATTTATTTCTTATATGAACTGTAACTCAGTTAAATCTTTGAAATTGTTGCATGTTGCGTTTATATTTTTGTCATTTCATCGTGGATAATTGGGTAATATTTGGTTGAGACGTTGATCTGTGAGATTACAACCTATATTCACAGACTCAAAAAGACAGCCACAAGTTAGTTACATTTCTAATGTCTTATCACTATGCTTACAACCATCTAAAAACAACCAAATTCCAATGAAAAAACAATGTCTATTTTTTGGTTTAGTTGTCACCCAAATGTCTATCACTGCGCTTTCAACCATTTAAAACCATGGCAAAGTTCAAATGGGAATACAATGTCAGATATTTTGTTTAGTTATACAATATATTGATGTGTTATTACTATGATTTTCTCTGTTAGCACAACCAAATGACCTGGATTGCAGTTGAGATTACATTAAAAGCAGAGCCGGCGACCAGAAGGAATCAGTTGGATGGGCATTTGATTTACATAGGGGGGCAAGTTTTCACGTGCACTATTTATTTTAATGGGTTTTATAGTAAAGACATGTCATTTAACCTTTTTTTAGGTGAGGGAGCGCCACATTAATTTTTTTAATTAGGTCATAATTTCTCAATCAAGTTTGTACCGACAGATGTAGCCTATTGACTATCATTGTAGAATAGGCCTAGATAGCATAGAATGTATCCTCCAATTGTAACGTCTGTCTATGCCCACACATATTGTCTCAAGAACATTTTCTATTTTTAATACCCTCAGAGACCAAGTTAGGCATACCTTCTTTCAACATAGGCCATCATCTCTGTCAATTGTGAATGATAAATCTTCACGTTTTATCGTGTAAAATGTCTAAACTGCATGCCAGTTTTTTTTTATCTCAATCAGTTTCATGGGAATATGCGTTTAGATCTTCTTGAATTACTGTTTCGTGAGCGAATTAAAGCAGATGGTGTCAACAAACTATTAGTCTTTCTTGTATGCATATTTTGTTTCAATCAAAGTATACTGTATATCCTGCCTAGTGGCGTAAGCTGTTGAGTTTTGGCCGCATGACCTTTTTTTTTTTACTTCAGCTTCAGATAAGAAATGACTGAGGAGGTGTTTTTGGTGTAACATATTTTATAGGCCTACTACTATGCTATTATATTCTGTTATGTTATGTAAAATACTAATGAATCATTATGTGATTTTGCGAGGCAATGATTCAGCTTTGATCTAACTTTACTAAACGAGCACCATTGTGAGAAGTGATAGTCTTTTATTTGTAATAATAATTATAATCATATGTGATGAGTAGGACTATTAGGTGTAGGCAACAGAACTTGATAAGGGTTATTTTAAGCAATTTGAGCGCCCTTTGAAACATGGGGCTGAAAGGACAGCTCCCTAACCAAGTTGGTTACATATCGTTCTGGGTTCCACTGCTTAAGAGGGGGACCCAGAACCGGTGCCCCCGCACATTGACTCGGTACTGGTACCCCCTGTATATAGCCTCGCTATTGTTATTTTTACTGCTGCTCTTTAATTATTTGTTACTTTTATTTCGTATTTTTTTATATTGTATTTTTTTGTGATTTCTTTTTTTGTATTCTTTCTTAAAACTGCATTGTTGGTTAAGGGCTTGTAAGTAACCATTTCACTGTAAGGTCTACACCTGTTGTATTCGGCGCATGTGACAAATACAATTTGATTTGATTTGACCGTGGAGTTTTATGAACATCAAGGCAGACGCGCAGTGAATTTGGATGCTAGATCTCATTGGTGTGATGCTAAGGTTCATGCGGTGGATCAGTTTGCCTGCATATGCAATAGAGGTAGGACTTTTCTGTAAGCTTAGCACTCGGACAGTAGGGCGAGTTCAAGTGCGTCGTACATGAGCCCCAAGTCCATAACAAACTGTTTTGAGGACAGCTGTTTTAGCAAGCCCTGGTAGAGTTTTTATGTCTGTGGCTGTTCTTGTTACATTGGATTTGGCCCACTCGAAGTGGTCAACCCTCTGACCGACGGGCCTCTGCACACACATCTACAGTTATTCATCATCTGCGCCACTGCCAGAGAGAGAGAGAAGGCTGGGAAGAAAGCACCATTTACCTACCCATAGGCTGCTACAGCTTACATATTTATTTAGTTTGTCATTCTATCGTTTTCATAACATTTTAGTAGCAATTAAATCATTATAAAAGAACAGACACTAATGTACTGTTAAACCAAAGGTTATTTGGAATTTACGGTAACATATGTACCTTTTTTTACAGTAACGTACAGATAACTGGCTGCAGCAAGGTTATTTCCAGTCATAAAAAGGGACTGGGTAAACGAGAGGAGAGACTGCTGCTTTGTCACCCGTTTAGTTTTCACGTTTTCTACCATTTAAGGTTTTCACTGCATCCTCCCGTGCCAACGAGTGATTTAAACATCAACAGATTAATGAAGTCCGGCCCCAAAACCAGCTCTTCGAGCCAACAATCAATCACAAAGTCCCCTCTGATTCTCTCTGTAACTATTGCCTTGTATAGAATTGCTTTGTGTTGCATTTTTCTGCTGCACTGTAGAATATAGTTTGGATTTATTATTGGAGGTATAGGCCTAGAGATAAGTGTTTCAGATTCAGGCTGATAAAGAACAAGGCCATTAAAATGATTTCCCTGGCAATCCATTTGTATTAGTATTTTCAGTAGCTATTTAAACAATGACCTGTTATAACCAGGGCTTAAGTAAGCTTGGCGAGCGCTGGGAAAACACACTATACCGCTCCAACACATTGTTTATTTGTAGGGCCAATGTAATGGTCCTGTTTGCCTGCCTCACTCTCCAGTCTCCACTTATCCGATTTTTTTATTTCAAGGCGGTAATGTTGATTCGTGAAGCATGAAAGAGCCATCTTTGCTGATTTCCTGTGGTAATCACTCCAGGTCTTGTCAGGATTTGTAGGCCTCCATTGTAGTCCACTACTTACTCTCATGATTGTGGTTTTGTCCATTAGGCACCAAAAGGAAGCAAATGGACTGAAACAGGGAGTGACTACCTGGACTTGTCCAATAAGAGCACTCATTTACGTTTTCTGTTGCAACGCGTTTTAAAACATTTTCGGTTTCATGCCTTAATGAACCTGATCCATGTTTCTGGAGTGATTCAGCCACATGCCTCAGATGAAAAGCCAGACGTGTTGCCTGGGTGGCAGAGACAGCAACCAGTGTTAATGTTTAACCACAGTGTGAATGCCTCACTTCTAAGATGAGAGCAGAATGCAAAAAAAAAAAGAAAAATCGTCATCAATATCAAGGACCTGAATAGTAATATTTTCCCTTGGTGGTTGCAACTGCTCAAATAACAGAGATAATATTTGTATAAAGGGGTGACTAAACATAGCAACGGTCATCGAAATTGTTAAAAGGTTTTAAAGACAATTCTAATACATGCAACAGTTGGACAATGGATGAACTTTTTGAATTTTTACAATCCAATAGATATTGACTTAATTATAGCACATAAAACATTTTACTGGCACAGACTAATGAATGGAGTTCAGGGGTTTCTGTGGGAATTCAGTTATTCAATTTATTGTCAAATTGCACCTTTTTCTTCTTAGAACGCACTCATATATACATTTTGTTATTGTATCAGGTATTTCTTTTAAATATTTTGTGTTAAAATAAAGGAATTAATATAATGTATACCTCATTTTCATAAATACACCTGCTATATTTGCATCTATAAATTAATTAACATAAAGGGATGGAACAGGGCTGCAACCACCAAACACTTGCTCTATTGTTGTCACGTTCTCTCGCATAATTCAACAAGTGTGTCAATAGCAGGATACCCTCAGATTAAAAATCAACACGCTTGGCTCTAGATTACACCTATCTAAACATACTTTACATTGTTTGCGAGATCAGACATAATATCACTATAATCATGTGTTCATTTTTGGAAGTTGATTTCATTTCAGTGCATCTAATTTGTAAACATTTCAACTGTATTAACTTATTTTAAAAAATCAATTCCACAAAAATTAACACCCATCAAAATAAAGTGTCGTAAGTGTTAGCGTTCTTATAGATTCAACGATAAGACAATGTATTCCACTGACCACATTTCACCCATTACCGGGGTGTGTTTGACAGGTCATTACAAACATTTCCGCGCTCGTAACGTGAACGGGAAAAAAACGTCAGGCACAAGCAAGAGTATGAAAGAGTCACAGGAGTAAAATGAAAGCAATCAATCCAGCGAGATTTAAATGACAAGTGGATTTTGCACCCCTCAAACACAGGAAATAGATAACTGAAAAAGACAGATCCTCAGGTGGGCGGGGAATGCGCATTGCTACTAAGTAAGCATCCTGGTCTTGACTGTGTTTTTAATGAGTGCTGTTTGCTGATGAGAATGGTAAAGCAGGCACAGTAATAGGTGCATGTGGAGTTGTTTAACTGGAACGATGGCATAAGGGTGAGCTTATTAGGGGAGATACTATAGTTGATCATTGCTTTTCTTTCTGCTTGCTCTCCTTGTGAGATGATTCACATGTTATTACACTGATATAGTATGTATAGGATCTACACCACTTGAATAAACAGAAGGAACAGATGTTTGATATTTGGTTTCCCTCAGCTCCAGACGGACGCGGAGAAGCACTCAGCCGTCGAGCAGAACTCTGTGTGGTCCGGCAGCGACGAGGTCAAGAGGTCAGACGGGGGCTCGGACAGCGGGTTCAAAATGGAGTCGGGCTCCAAGTGGTGCCACCACCCCTCAGACATGTCGGACGAGTCTGACAGGAGCTCCTCGGGCCGCAAAACGCCTTCCATGGCTCACACTGGCTCCTGGAGGCGGGGCATGAGCACCCAGGTGGGCATGACCTCGCCCAGGACCAAGGCACCTGTCACGCCAGTCTGTGGCACGCTGAAGACCCATGGGACAGGTACTTTACATGCAGAGTAGAGCCATGTTGTGTCTTGTCTGGAGTCCAACAGCCACAGTGTCTATGTATTGTTCTCTATCAGTCTGAACTGCTTGGGTTCCTGTAGCATGTGATAAGGCAGCCAGCAGTCAACCACAGAGAGGTTTTATCTGGTGAGATCAGGGCTCAGGTTGCCAGGTGATAAAACCACTCTCCGGGGAGGCGTTTGAAGATTTGGTGATCTCTTACCTTTTATATTGAAATGGTAGATAGAGAGGCCTTTGAGTTGAAACATGTTGGAACTCAGCAGGATGTCTGATGCTACTGTACTGTTGAGTGAATGTGCTTGGTCCATGGTTGACAGACTGTGTCATGTCTCCACCCACAGGTAAAACGGATGACGCCAAGGTGTCTGAGAAGGGCCAGCATTATCTCTCGCCCCGGGCCAACAGCAGCATGCAGCGCTCCCCATCAGACACGGGCCGCAGCAGTGGAGACGAGGCCAAGAAGCCCCCCTCCTCCTCCAGCCGCACCCCCACCACCAACACGTTTGGCTTCAAGAAGCATGCTGGAGGAGGTATGACCATGGTGACAGCCAGCGGAGTCACCATCACCAGTGGCTCCGCCACCCTGGGGAAGATCCCCAAGTCAGTGCAGCTCCACGGGGGTCGAGGCCTTGGTCGCCAGGCCAGTGTGGATGATGGCTACCTGCCTGTGAGCTCCCACTCCACCCTGCAGTACCGCAGCCTCCCCCGGCCCAGCAGAGCCTCTGGTGGGGGCCGCAGCACCAGCATCGACTCCAACCTCAGCTCCAGGTCCAACACGCACCACGGCCCCAAAAGCCGCAGCCAAGTCCCCAAGCCCAGCGCCGGTGGCATCCCCCTACCTGGCTCGGGATCCAACCAGACAGACAAGGAGAAGGGGGTGTCCTCTGAAGCCAGTCCCATGGCCCAGGGCTCAGCAACTCTGCCCCCTCAGGGAGCCAGGCAGCCAGGGGGAAAGTACCCAGACATCTCCTCCCCTACCCTGCGCAGGTGAGCCCACCACCTCCATACTACAGTCTACTTACAGTACACCAACCACCAGCCATCAGGGGCTGTCTTACACTAACAGTCGATGAGTCTGATAGCTCCTTCCTCCAGCCCTGAAAGCACTACCACACCAGCCTGCTTGTTTCAAGGGGTGATGTATTCAGGCACAGTGCAAACGGATTTGAGTTGGTATACTCATCATATCAGTATTATAAATTAGTAACATGAAAGAACATTTAGAGAGCCCTTATCAGGGTTTCATTACGTTTTTTGCCCATGACTTGTGTGAGTGACATAAAAGGCTTGGTTTATCACTAGGCATAGGGCCTCTCTTCCCTTGTGGCCTGTAAAATAATGTCCTATCAGTGGTCATTAAAAGCAGGGTGACAGAGCCCAGACATGACCAGTGTTTTCTCTAGCTCGAACCCAGTACTGGGCTGCCTGGTGTTGCTTTAACTGCTGCTGCTTGGACTTATCTGACTAATCGCCTGATGAGGTAATGAGAAAATAGAGCAGGTGTTTTCCCTCAGTGGTCTGAGTCTCCCTTCTCATTTAACCCTTGTTTATTTCATGTTGTCAAAACGAATACGGTGTCTGTGGCACACGCTTTACATCCTTCTTTAATTCATGTAAATGACATGTTGATAAAAAGCCACGGTAGAAGATGTATGATAGCTGCTCACACGGATGCCCAAACCGGACCAGCGAATTAGAGAGAGAGATTTATTTGTCTTGTGATTATACCATGAAGTAGGCATTGTGTTCCCGTGGCAACGTTATGATATGTATATGTTTCGCTTCTCTTTGCATTAAACAGTTTTTTCATCACAAATTCCTTCAACAATTCCCTACTTAAACCCATGTACCGCATAATTCTCCTGTCACTCTTCTCCACTCCTCTCTCCGGTGCCATCCAGACTGTTCGGAGGCAAGCAGCCTAAGCAGCAGGCCCCAGTCACCACCGCAGAGAATATGAAGAACTCCACCGTCATCTCCAACCCCCACGCCAACTCTGGCCAGCAAGTCGGCGCTCTGGACTCCCCTTCGGCCAGTAGTGGGGGCAGTAGCCCTCTGTATGGGGGTGGAGGTCGCCTGGGTGTGGAGGCCCACTCCCTCTCCCCCCTGGCCTCCAGCCCCGGCTCAGCCCTGTCCACCCCTTCCCACAGCCTGGCCTGGAGCAGCACTCTGAGCCCCGGCTTCCCCTCCCTCAGCAGCCTTGCCACCAGCAGCGAGTCCATCGACGTGTCCCTGGGCAGCGGTGGCCACGGACACCACGGCCATGGTCATGACACACTGCCAGCCTGCGTCAGGAACAATGGCATCAAAACGGGATTCTCAGAAAGGTAGGAGCTGTTTTTTTTTTTTTAGGAACGGCCAGGTGTGGCTATGTGTTTTAATATCTACTACAAGCTCCCCTCCCTTTTCCTCCCTTTGTATCTCGACCTTTAAACTGTTGTGTGCATGAGGTTAACAGAAGTGTTTGAGTGGCCGTATTGATGATATAGGAGATGATAGGAGACTGACTCCAAGCAGGTGTTGGTGGGATGAAAGCATGGATTCTATCATGACTGATGATCTCTCTGTTTCCCCCTTCTCTTGGTGCTGCTCCTCTCTCTGTTTTGTCTACCCCTACCTCCTAACCCCCCTTCTCCCTACCCCCTAGTCTTAGCCCCCTCTCCTCTCCCTCGGCTAGTCCCAAATTCAGCCGAAACACTTTACCCCGGAAGCAGGAGAGGTAAATGTGTCTATATGGAGTTAGGCTTGCTTGATATTGAAACAGCTGCCTGTGTGTAGTGTACTGTGTTGTGAAGTGAAGTGACCGTTGGATGTTTTCACAGCATGCATAGTGCCATCTGCTGGCTAAACTAGGAAGGGCAGGGCTGTAGTCTGAAGCCTAATCTTGAGATGTACATCAAATCATATAGTACACCACAGCTATGATGCTTCTATAGATAAGAGATCAGTTATCTGAAGCTGTGTCCTGTCTCTATATGTTCAGAATGGCCACACACCTACCTGCACCAACACAGGAATTGCCCCAGTGATTAGATATATATTACACCTGTTTTTTTTACTTAAACAACTCCCAAAATACATTTACATTTTACATCTTAGTCATTTAGCAGACGCTCTTATCCAGAGCAACTTACAGTTAGTGAGTGCATACATTTTTTCATACCTCTCCGTAAGTCACCATTTCCTTGAGCAATTTACTCAGGAAAAAAAAGATTGAGAAAAAAACAAGCAATCAAGTATTGTTTTCATGAAGGTACATTGACTTGCAACTTCCACCTGTATCATATATGATGCATGATCCCCTGCTCTGTGATGTTGTAGACCATGTTGTGATTGTACTAAATGCACATTATCAGACAGCCTTGATGTTATCCATGTGCCTCCCTGTCCATCAACAACATAGGTCATTATATCTGTGCAGATAGTGACTTGCAACATTCACACATAGATGTGGATGTGAGAGGGCTTTTCAGCATCTCCCATCTCTCTCCAGGTATGGCCACCTGCCCCAGCTGCGTAGTCATGACGACCCCCGGGACTGGCTGCGTTCCCACTCTGCGGGAGGTCTTCAGGAGTCTGCCGGCAGCTCACCCTTCTCCCCCGCTTCTAGCCTCACCTCGCCCTCCGGAGCCCGCTTCAACTTCTCCCAGCTTGGTAGGTGTAGCCTCATCCATCTGTACTCATCACTATGATAAGCATTGTAGGAGCAGTGATAGTCATCTCTGCACCCATAACTAAATATTGTGTGCATGCTGGCTTAATGTTTCATCTCTTTCAAGAGACTACAGTGATATTAGTGGTGATGTAAGGAAAGGTAGTAGTGATTATATATATTATGTTGTATTTCACTCTTACTTTCCACTGAGTGAAGAGTGACAGACAGAAGACAAACATATCTGATCAATGCCCTCTGTCCATGTCTGTTTTTAAGATAACCTTTGACCTGTGTTATGTAACGGATGTGTCCCAGCAGGCAGCCCTACCACAGCTGCCCAGATCAACCTGGCGAACCTCCGCAGCGGCCTGGCCAATCAGGAAGGGCCGTACGACCCGTACAGTGACCGCCTGAGGAACTCGTCCATGTCTCTGGAGGAGAAGAGTCGCACCATGAGCAGCTCTGGGTCCTTCAGAGAAGGACTAGAGGAGGGTAAGACAGACTGACACACTCCTCTACCTATCTGCTCTCACACATGGCCTCAGAGAAATACTGGTCAAGTCATTTTTTGTTTATTCAAGTTTTTTTAGAGGGTTGTTTTGACACTCCACATGCATGTGTGAACTACCATTTTACTTCTGAATGGATTATAACTCTCTTAGAAAATCAAGCTTTCCTTACCTAAGATCATTTTTTGAAAGCTTTCATTCTTTACAGGGCGCTAGTGAAAGATTAATATTTGTCTTACAAAAGTAATGTTTATTGAATCCACATGTTTGTTCAACCAACCACTTAAATCACTAGTGAAGTCATTCATTACCTTTAGTATTCCAGTCTCATTTAGAACCTGTGTTGATTTTCCACACATCTACAGTTGAATTGGGAAATAGAAAGAAGCACTTTGTTCGATTTGTGAAATGTACATAGACTGAGGTTTGATGATTGACTACACTTCTGTCACTCTGAATGGCATGTTGCTCTTGTGGTTTGGTGCTTGTCCTGAGGCTCTCACTTTCGCTGATCCCTCTATGATGCTAGTTTCTTGGCTGGTGTTGTGGCATGCAGGCCAGGGTGAGGAGGAGGAGAAAGGCTGAAAAGTATCTCCTCTCCTCCCCCGTCGCAGACAGACATCTTACTCAACACCAGCTTCCTGACAGGAGCACAAGCCCTGTTTGATGGCACCCCAGTGTCTACTTTTCTCCTTTAGAACGCAGATTATAGAGTAAACCAGGGAAAATCCTTGATCCAGTAACAGTATACATATCAGTATTGTAGGTCTCGAGTCCGGTCTCGAGACCACATTTTCACTGTCTCGGTCTTGTCTCGGAGTCTGATACATTTGTACTCAGTCTTGACCCGGTCTCGGACAGTGAGGACTCGTAATTTCTTCCCAAAACCAGCCGAGTAAAAAACTAAAAATGATCAGCTTCCATTCAGTAAGCACATAAAACCGCTTCGCCAGGCCAAATATATACACTCCTTTCTTGATATAATACCTGCAGCCTTTATATCTATTATAGACATGTTTGCTCAGTGGCAAACCTATTGGACCTAGGCCTTCAGTGTGTGACAGGTTTGTGATGCTGAAAGGTCAGCAACGGTAATACCAGCGCACTCATGTAGGAGAAGGCCAGCAGTGGCGTAGTGGAGGCTATACGCCGTATACCCACTTTTTTATTTATGTATTGGTATTGTGTATACTCACTTCTTAATCCACACTGATTTGTATCAAAGTAGTGTAGTGGCGGTATACGACTTATCAATTATGCAGTACAATAGAGAAATCATGCACAAAGTAGTCTACACAATCGCAAAGCACGTGAAATATATTCACATGCGCGCCGCACACATAGCCTAGTTTCAGAGGAATATAATCTGCAAGCAGCAAGAGCGCACAGCTCTCAACTGGTTTTGGCATGGAGCAGCTCACAGATGAATGACATTGGAAGGGTTGGTAGGAAAGAAGTTTCAATTAATGATATCTACCAGTAAATGCTAACTAAGGCAACAATGAGTATGCAAACTAGGTATTGAAAAGTTTGGTCCAATGTCTTCATTAGTAGGCTATTTGTGATGCCCTGTTTGCATCAGGGGCGTGGCATGGGTGGGCCTGGATGGACACAGGCCCACCCACTGGGGAGCCAGGCCCACAGAATCAAATTGAACAAAAAATAAAAAATTATACATTATTATTACGAAAATACTCCTCAGCACCCCTCACCCCCATAAATATTTTTATTTTTCCCAGACCTCCAAAATGGTCACCTGATGTGGTTTAAGCATTGTTGTGGAAGAAATATATAGGAAAACTAATAAAAAACCATAGGAAAACACAGCATTTTTCACACAGGGTGTCTTTCCTTCGCTGGGTGGGCCGTTTGGGAAATCTTTGGCAAAATTTGAGTATACCCACTTCTCCAGGCACCACTACACCACTGCATAGGGCCAATGGAAAGACAGAGGTTATACACAGCATGATGTTAAAGGATAAGCAGTCCATAAACTCTGACATAATATGCCATTAAGTCCTAATCATATGAATACAAAAACAAAACCATTAGGCTAAGCAGTTCCTAATCAAAATGTACAACTATTACTTCCCATTGCAAAAAATATTTCACGTTTAGCACACTAAGTAACCGATGACCTAAAATGTAAATGCCACAATGTTTCACACACAAGTTATTTTCAAAGAGATGGCTAACAACACCAAGCAAGCTCCAATAAAAAACACAGTTCCGCTCATCAGATGATGATCAACTTAACTTCTTGTTGAAAGTTATTCTTGAAATGGAAGAAGCTAACAAATTAGCAACAACATCCTCTTCCATAACACCTGCTGCAGCCACTGCAAACTAGCCTACAACAAAAGATAGCTAGCTAGACCATGGGAAAACTACTGCTCGTTATTGCCGAAATTATCGCTACCCTATTACTAATCTGTTCAACCTCTCTTTCATAACGTCTGAGATCCCCAGAGATTGGAAAGCTGCCGCGGTCATCCCCCTCTTCAAAGGGGGTGACACTCTAGATCCAAATTGCTACAGACCTATATCCATCCTGCCCTGCCTTTCGAAAGTATTCGAAAGCCAAGTTAACAAACAGATAATTGACCATTTCGAATACCAACGTACCTTCTCCGCTATGCAATCCGGTTTCCGAGCTGGTCACGGGTGCACTTCAGCCACGCTCAAGGTCCTAAACGATATTATAACCGCGATTGATAATAGACAGTACTGTGCAGCCGTCTTCATCGACCTGGCCAAGGCTTTCGACTCTGTCAACCACCGCATTCTTATTGGCAGACTAAATAGCCTTGGTTTCTCAAATGACTGCCTCGCCTGGTTCACCAACTACTTCTCAGATAGAGTTCAGTGTGTCAAATCGGAGGGCCTGTTGTCTGGACCTATGGCAGTCTCTATGGGGGTGCCACAGGGTTCAATTCTTGGGCCGACACTTTTCTCCGTGTATATCAATGATGTCGCTCTTGCTGCTGGTGACTCTCAGATCCACCTCTACGCAGACGACACCATTTTGTATACATCTGGCCCTTCATTGGACACTGTGTTAACAAACCTCCAAACGAGCTTCAATGCCATACAACAATCCTTCAGTAGCCTCCAACTGCTCTTAAACACTAGTAAAACTAAATGCATGCTTTTCAATCGAACGCTGCTGGCACCCGCCCACCCGACTAGAATCACCACTCTCGACGGGTCTGACCTAGAGTATGTGGACAACTACAAATACCTAGGTGTCTGGTTAGACTGTAAACTCAACTTCCAGACTCACATAAAGAATCTCCAATCCAAAGTTAAATCTAGAATCGGCTTCCTATTTCGCAACAAAGCCTCCTTCACTCATGCTGCCAAACATGCCCTCGTAAAACTGACTATCCTACCGATCCTTGACTTCGGCGATGTCATTTACAAAATAGCCTCCAACACTCTACTCAGCAAATTGGATGTAGTCTATCACAGTGCCATCCGTTTTGTCTCCAAAGCCCCATACACTACCCACCACTGTGACCTGTACGCTCTTGTTGGCTGGTCCTCACTACATGTTCGTCGTCAAACCCACTGGCTCCAGGCCATCTATAAATCACTGCTAGGCAAATCCCCGCCTTATCTTAGCTCATTGGTCACCATAGCAGCACCCACCCGTAGTCTGCGCTCCAGCAGGTATATCTCACTGGTCATTCCCAAAGCCAACACCTCCTTTGGCCGCCATTCCTTCCAGTTCTCTGCTGCCAATGACTGGAACGAATTGCAAAAATCTCTGAAGCTGGAGACTCTTATCTCCCTCAATAACTTTAAGCATCAGTTGTCAGAGCACCTTACCGATCACTGCACCTGTACACAGCCCATCTGAAATTAGCCCACCCAACTACCTCATCCCTATATTGTTATTTATTTTGCTCATTTGCACCCCAGTATCTCTATTTGCACATAATCTCTTGCACATCTAGCATTCCAGTGTTAATACTATTGTAATTATTCTGCACTATAGCCTATGTATTGCCTTACCTCCATAACTTGCTACATTTGCACACACTGTATATATATTTTCTGTTGTATTTCTGACTTTATGTTTTTTACCCCATATGTAACTCTGTGTTGTTGTTTTATTGCACTACTATGCTTTATCTTGGCCAGGTCGCAGTTGTAAATGAGAACCTGTTCTCAACTGGCTTACCTGGTTAAATAAAGGTGAAATAAAAAAAATAAAAATAAAAATATTGCGCAGTGACCTGTTGGCCTTTGAGAAGGCAGAAGTTTCCATACGTTTTTTGTAAAAACGGTCCCACTCATTACAAGTCGAAATGTGATTGGTTGATTCCACTGTCACTCCAAAATGTTGCCCTAATACAGTTGAATGACAGATACCTTCTATCTAGCTTCTGATGGCCTAGCCAATGGCTGACTTAGCTAGCTAGATTTATCTCCCCAGAGACCACTAAAGAAAAATCCTGATTGGATCATTGTTAACCCTTTCCTTTCCAACAAAAACTAAAGCGATTGAATCAGAACATCATTGAAAAGAATAATGTAATTAGAATTATTATTATTAGAATTATGATATACATCCTTAGCCCTTCTCTGAAGGCATAGAAGGCCCTCATTGTTCCCCACTGTGTTTGGGTTAGTAATAATTTGTAGAGTGGCTCTATTTTCCCTCAGCATGCATTTTTTTCACCATTCTAAATGTCTAAAGAATCCATATGTTCTTCTGAAGTACAAACACAGAAATACTGGACATTTTGAACTCTTAGTATGGTGGCGATTTGACAAAATTACAATCATGGTCTTGACTCAGACTCGATTTGCTCCGGTCTTGGTCTTGAAATCGGTCTCGTTTAGGTGGTCTCGAACACAACACTGATACATATATTTACTCCTGGTATGAAGATAGAATGAAATATATGTTTCAGAAAAGACAAACATCCATTCCAAACTTGAAAAACAAATCCAACGTCCTAGCATGTAAAGTTGTTATTTGGGATATT